AGATGTAAAGAAACCAATAGACTTTGTACACGGGAGGCTACTGCTCTTCTGAGTCGTTTCTCGTCTCTTTGTTTGAAGTGTCTTTGCTGTTGTGCTCTGAGCAGCAGGTGCAGATGGAATTGGCAGTGGATAGTTGCGTCAAACAAGAAAGATTCATGAGAAAACTTAAAGAGCTAGTCCATACCCTGCATGGGAGAGCCAAATTCACTGGTCAGCAAGAGGAAAGTTGCAGGCTGACTTGCAAAACATGAGCGCCCATTTGGCCCTTCTCCACCGCTCCCGATGAAATCACGCTATCCGGGGGCCAGCACAGCTCCGCAGATGTGCTTTGCCTTATAAACAAATGAGCGAGGTGCCTTGGGAACAGGCGCTTTAATGTACGAAACAGATTGCGTTCTGCTCTGCCACAAGCAAAGAGATGACTGAGTGAACAACTGACATCTTGATTTACAAATATTTCCAATTCTTTCCTTGCACTGGGCCCCTCACACCTTCATCACAAAATTGGTTTCTCCAGTTCCCGGAGCTTGGTCCCACAGCCTCCGTGACGGCACATCTCAGGAGATGTGGACCAGCCCTCCTTGCCTAAATACCTCTTCTTACCCAAGGGGAAACAGGGACTAGTATTTTGTGAATTTCTGCCACAGCTAGTTAGATGTAAGGGTTTTGGCACCTGGATAACAAAACCCAAGCAATAAAAGAAGAGCTTGGAGCAGGGCCAGTGACAATTTTACAGAAAGGTGAAGCGCACGCCTGAGTGTCAGACATTAAAGCTACAGCCAGCCAGGGTGTCTGTGACATCCCGGAGTCACACGTTTCAGGGTTTCCCTCTCAAAGCAAGTTGAGCAGTCTCTCTGCAAGGGCTAGAAAAGGCAGAACTTGGCCAGACTGAAAATAGGCTGAGAAAAGTTGCCCTCATTGTTTTTCTTTCTGACCTGAAGGATGAACAATACAGATGATAAACAAGGAAGAAACAGATGTTCTAGTGCCCGTTTGGAAGGCCAGGAGATTCATATACCCTAAGAGACTAAATAAGAACTGCAGTACTTATGACTAATGCTTCCATGCCATAAATCCAGGCTGCAAGCTCCCTCTTATTTTCCCAGCTTTGGATTTAAGTACTCGCCTCCTCTATCCTTCCTAAACAAACAAATAAAAACACCTTTACAATTCTTGCTGCCATCCCACATTCAGCCAAGAGCCTCCTGAGACCGAGCATCCTGGAAGCATCCTGCAATGTCTGAACCACTGGAAATCTTAAAATCCTTTGTACCTTTGAGATGATCTCTCATTACTGTCCAAACAGGTGGAAAAAAAACAAAGAACAATATGGAGTGGGTAATTATTTAAAATTCAATAATTACCCAGGGGCCTTTTTTTTTTCCAGATGTTTTAGCCCAATCTCAGTACACCATGTAAGAATCTAACTCTCTAGCCACAGTGGGTGGTCCAAGAAATCTGTAAAAAAGGCAGGATTACATCACAGTGAAAAGTGCTTTGTTTTATAGATTCATCCCAAACAACCCAGGTCTTTTTTTATTCTCACGCAACCCCTCCACTGCCAAAATCCATATCAGGTCATGCCAACAAAGACAAAAAAAAAACCAAACAAACAAAAAACCACCATTCACCAACCTGCCTTACATCACAATAAATTTGGGGAAACACAGTCACGTTAGAATTTTAATATGGCCATGTCAGAAAACCAAAAAAAAAAAAAAAAAAAAAAAAAAATCACCATTCACCAACCTGCTTTACATCACAATAAATTTGGGGAAACACAGTCATGTTAGAATTTTAATATGGCCATGTCAGGTGGGGCACAACCATTAATGAGCATCCCCTCGGAAGACAGTGTCTGAACTGATCTTTTCTTGAAATTAGGTAAAACCTCCCAATTTTTAGAGCAGCTAAAAAAGAAAAGATTTGGAGTTGACCGGAGTCTCCTACCATACTAGAGCAAAAGCAGCAAATGCCAAATGATAGCTGAGGCATTTCCTAAATGGCACCAGAGGTGCCTGCTTGTACCTCTAGCTGGAGGGAGCACAGATCCAGATCACCACATTCGGGGCTGACTCACCACTCCGTGTTTACACCTCCTGCTCCAAGAACGTGTTTTGACAGCACGCAGCATATGCTACCACCCACCACAAAAACAGAACATTCCTGGAAGGGAGTTTCTCCCTTCCTTTTGCAACTGATATAACTTTAGAGGTATTTTTCTGTTTTAGCATCTGCATTTTGTTTGTTTTTTTTCTTCTAAGGCAGACTTTACAAGGCCCTTCTTTCCTCACAAGCAACAGCTGTCAGGTTTGACGAGAAAACTCTGCTTTTTACAGAACGTGGCTACAGAACAAAGACCTCAGGGCAGTGTTTTGGCCACACACAACCGGAGAAAATCTTCCTCTACCTTGCACAAGAATTTAGAGTATGAAGATCTATGGGGTCTCTCAAGCAGCTCTGTTGTTAACGTGGAACATGGTTCACAGTGAAATGCTCTCTCTACATGATTGTTCTAAAGCTGGGCTGAAAATACCACCCATCCAAATTTTCAGTCCAACTTCCACCTCTGCTGTATTTTCCATCCACAAATACTAAATACAGTACCCCCAGCTTCAGGAAATTTTTGACATGTTTAAGTATATTCCTTTGCTATTCCTTTTGGGACACTCATTGCTTTTAAAATAGCATCTTGTTTCTGTTCATGCTGTATTTTAGGCAAGGCACGTCTTTCAGAAGATCTGGTTTTAATTTATATTTGAGTGACTGCCACTGAACGATGGCCATTCATGATGAACACGTCCAATAAACTTAACAACCTTACGATGTGCTGTTTCCTGAGATTAGTTCCATTCTATAGCATCTGTAGAAAAACACATTAATTCGCCTTTGTTGTCTCAAAGAAATTTAATGCTGCTAGTACTGGAATATGAAAACCTATTTGCAAATCAAGTTTTTTGTCTGCTTTGTCAAGTTTTTCATTGCTTAGAGATTCCATGGTAATGGCTTGCTGGGAATATTATATCTATGAATAAAAACAAAGCCAGTCCAGAACTGTACTCCTCAATCTATTTCTGCCCTTAACTTGAATTAAGTAAGCATGCTAACTGGTGTCTGAGAGTAGTTTTCTTATGTAGATAATTCTGTCTGAAAACAATCCAACAAACCACCAGTTTAGAACTTGATCCCATAAAGAATTATGTACGTGTATCTTTAAACAGATGATGCTAAAATGATGCTATTTCTATTTCAAATTAAGCATCATGTATATCTTATTCATGGTTTTTAGAAGATAAAGGTTACTCAAAGTTTAATTAAAAACAAAGCACAGTATATCGCAAGACATTTTACAAGGATACTCTGCTTTTTCAGATGTTATTAACAGAGAGGAACTATTATACTACTAAGGAGATCTGTGTAATCTATAATTACATTAACTGTGAGGAACTGATACACAGAGTAGCAGAACAGGAACACTAGCTGCATTATTTGAGTATTGGTCTACTCAAATGACACTGCAAAAGCCCTTTCTTAATTCTATATTCTTTAATACATTTTCTATATAGAAGGTGATTTTCTTTCATGGGTCTTATTTCCACTAGTTTCAAAAACTGTGTACCCACAGCAGCTTAAATCAAATCCTCTGAAGTCAATCACAGCCCACCCATCATCTTTGCTCAAACCCAGTAGAAGGAATGAAGTTATCATTTAAATCTTGGAATCAAGACCAAAACCCTCCAAGGTACTAGTTATACAGGAGAAATTAAATATAGGTCATTGCAGGCTTTCAGTCTAAAATTGCTTCTTATTTTGCAATTTTTAATTGCAGGAAGAAGCACATGTGTTATTGTAATAATATTGTATTTGTTTATTTTTCAGGTGGAAATGATAGGAAATCCCTCCTCAGAATGTTAGAAAACAGCTTACCGACACCTTAGAAATATCATAAAAATGAGATCACAAGAGCAAATTTCAGAGCAGTAACTGACTGTGGAATCTTAAGAGCAGGCAGACTCCTCCATGCAGGAAACCTGGAGTTGTCACCAATAGCTTTTACTCTGTTACACTAGGAATCTAAAAGGATTTCAAAAGAGACTTTCGGTTCATAAAGAAAACAGAAAAAAAACCCAGGGTACTTAAGGGGTAGCTGTGCCAGTATCTTTTCCTGAAGGTAATCATTACTATGGAATTGGAACAGTTAAGCAGATAACTTATAAATAATAATCAAATAAGCCAAACAGCTCAAATATCACATCTCCAGTGATAACATTTTCAGGAGAAAAATCATCCCCATTGCTCGGTGAGCTCCATCAAGCACATTCCTTCCCCAGCCCGTCCTGGCACCACCAGGCACAGTGGTGCTGGAAGGTGCTGCCTCATTGCTAACATTTTCTTAGAGTTTGGAGTTTTTGTAGCTGGCGTGAGTGGGACAGAATGAAACCTGCAAAATACTTACACAGATTATACCGAAGGAATGTAGGGCAAGGATTAAATTATAAACCAAAGTGACTTTAAATGAAATAACACAGCAGGTTGTGATGACCATTTGATATGCTCATTTCGTACCCAGCTTTCAAGATACGACAGAGGAGTGTGTGGCAGGTGTGAGAAAGAGAACGGGAGTCCTGGCCTGGCTGAAGGCTTGTATGATATCCCAGGTGGGGTCTGCATTCCTCCTCCTTGCATCTTTCCAAACTACCTCTCCTTGACTTGGTGCCTAGAAAATCCGGTCACCTTAAAATATAGTTAGCGACATGCCAACGTAAGAGTCCACAGCAACATCTGAAAGTGATCATTTTACTGCCCACACTGGAGGAATGTTTCCCCACAGGAATAAGGAATTTTATGAGCGTTATAAAAAGTTACTGGCACTGCACTGTATTATCATCGTGGTATAAATTACTGATCTGCATGTCAGCCTCGGGCCAGCTGGGATGGCAGCCAGAATCATCTCTGTGCTCTGGAAGAGCTGCATGGGCAAGTGCCTTCCTTCGCAGCCTTCATCCTTCGTGGCACACGGTGTGTTCCTCCTCAGGAGGGATGGAACCAAACCAAAGGGCAGAGAGGGGCAGAGCAGAAAGCTCTTGCATCTCATACTGATCAGAATACCACTGCAGCAGCAGCAGCAATGTTTTGATCACATTTGTCTTGCTGCCAATAACAACAACATAACTCTGATTTGCATCAATGGATACCAAAGCTGCAGCTACTTTTCCCTTACTCTCAATCTTGGAGTGAATTAAATAGAGAATACTTGAATATACTTATATTTTTAAGAACTAAGTATACTTAAGATACTTAGATTCTCATCAGGCCGTACACTTCAGCTGCACAATTTCTTTTTTTTCAAGCACACTGAAATGTACCTTTTTTGCTTTTAGTTTATGTTTCCCTGAGGTTGGCAGACATTCTGTGACAGAAGGAGATATTATGTACAAAATGCAAAATATTGGTATCTATACTGTCCCTTGTATTCCTAAGCCAAACATGGTTGAGCCATCTCCCAGGCAGCAGCAGCAGGGTGGGGAGGTGGCATCTCACTAGTGGCAGTTCTGTCCCCTCTGCCTGGAGCGGGGGGCTGTGGGCAGGCACATACAGCACGTGGTTACGCCAATGCAACCTGTGCCCATGCATGCACACCCAGCACAAAAGGGCAATACAGCCAAAAGCACAGGCACAGCCTGCTTCCTACCTGGTCCTTTACTTTGGGGGGAAAAAAAAAAGCGGCACCCAAGCCCTGATCCATCCATCAGGAGCTATGTAACTAAAGTAACACCAAATTTTGGGTCCTGTAACTTAGCACAAGCTACAGCTAGATGATATGTCTTTATCTCCTGCTCAGAAAACCAGTGCAATGAGGCAATGTCGTATGAAGAATACTGTCAGACAAATGAGAGAGACTGCAGCTCAGGCTGAAACAGTCTGTATGCAGGGGTTGTCATCATTTCCCCTTAGCCTTGTCAGTGATCCATTAGTGGTTCCAAGACACGTTTTTATTTTCAGGGTTCTATAGCTCTGGGCTGAAATGTCACATTTGTGGTGTCATCAGAACATATAAAATCTGGTTCAGTCATGCAAGAACTAATATGGGGAAAAATAAAGGACTTCTATAGTCTCGGTACCTTTCCTTTTAAATTTTTTTCACTATCTTTCCAAATGCATTCATTGGGCTTCAATATTGCACACTACAGAAAACCCAAAATGGGACAAGTTTTTCCTCAGCAAGTAATCCAAACTTCTATCATTACAAATATAAATCTCCATATCCCATCTGTATGGTCCTTACTAAGCACAAATAGTACCTCTAATTCTTTAATGTATCTCTGTAATGTGTTTTCTGTATTGCTATAGGGACCCACTGGAACAGCAGTCAATAAAACTTCATGTCCCAGTCACTGGACTGTTCTTCCTATCTCTTGATGCTTGGAAGGTCCAATAAGAGTTTTGTCTGCTCTTCATCTAGCACGAAGGGCAGCAAATACACCTCTCATATTTTTGCTTAAGTTTCTACAATTCAGAAGCTAACATTTTGCTAAGCATCAAGATGAATGCTGCAAAAAGTCAGTCCCAAAAAAAGTTGTGGCACGAAAGTAAAATTTGCTGACAAGCTAAAAGGAAATATGATGAGAAAGACATAGAAGCTTAGATAGCAAGAAATCAAGTTGTGTTCTACAAGACTTACACACCAGCAAAGACAGGGATGAAATGGGTGCAGCAGGAAAGTGTAAGCAAAAAGCAGCTCTTTTAGAAGTAGCATCAGGACAGAGTCATTGTATTGATTAATTGCTTTTATGCAACTGATCACTATATTTAATCCAGTAAATCTCTAGGGGTTTTGACATGTCATTAGTGAAGAAAGACAGTCAGGAAAAAAGGTATAAAACATCAAGAAATAGTAGATATCTAGGAAAAAAATGTCACAGCTTGCAAGAAATACAAAATCCAGCATCTCTGCTTACTCTGTAATTTGAAGATGTCTCGTCTAATTTATCTAAATGTGGCTACCAAAAAAAAAAAAAAAAAAAAAGCCTTTTTGTAATGCATTGTACCTCTGCTTTAAAAAAAAATGCTTATGCATTAGTTAAGATCATTATTATATAAATAATATCTTTCTGACACCAAACGAGAAAATATTGTTAGATGTTCTCGGATACGATAAGGAGTCTCCAGGACTCTGTTCCCACCAAGCCAGGAGGTTGCAGGCTGGCAGTGTAAGGTTCAAACAGCATAAGAGAATCACGGCTTAGTCAGCCACCACCTTTGTCCTCAAGGCATAAAAAGAGAACCAGTTTGGGATGTTTCAGAGACTTTCAGAGAAGTAATAAGGGAATTCCCCAGTAACTCCTCCTTTTTACATCCAGGATTTGGCTGAGTTTTTTCCAGGGTTTTTTACTGTATGGGTTTTCAGAATGTACTTCTGTTCTCGGCATTTCAACAACGTGTACAATTCAAGACACCTTTGATGATCCCTGAAGTCATGGATTATTCTTTCTTTCTTCACTGAAGCAGCACAATTTTAAGTCAAGAGCCACAGTTAAAAGTTTGCCTTTTTGGAATCTGCCTTCCAGAAACAGTCTTCAGCATCTACTTAAAATTTGCTGCTCTGCAATATTCTTGCCAGTGTCTGTATTTTCTACTGGCTGGTTGATACTTGCAGGAAGTAAACTTTAAATCATCTTTTTTTCTTAAGTGGAAGAATATCTATGGCTTTTTTTTTTTTTTTCTTTTCTATTTGCTGAGCTCTAACTTTCCTCAAAGGAAAGCCAAAGAACGAGTTAGAATATGTAAATCCAGTTCTGGGATATACAAAATATTCAAGCTGAGGGAAGTAAAAAGCTAATCAACAGTCTGCAGACTGTGCTAGAAGAATAGAATTATACAATAAAGAAATGCACTATATACTGAATTTGTGCTTTTGTTCCCTTGGGTACAAATTTTACCAGAATAAAGCACTAAGTCTCTGCCATTCTTATTTTAAGTTTTACTGGAAATATTTCTATCATTCCATCAGGTTTGATGTTCACAGCAGATACTTGGGTTTGATGTTTGTTTGGTTAGATGAGAAATACGTGATTTAATGTGACATCACATACTCCAAGGCGGTCAGATAAGTGTAAGGTTACACGTTTCTTAAAATAAATAATCAAGCTTAATAACACGTTTATAAAGAGCTTGTTTCCCCTATGCTGTCTTCAAGGGATTGTGTGGGACATTTATACTAATGATTTGCACACACCATCTCATTTCACCCCTCCCAAGTGGTCATTCCCACGCTGCTCTTTCATTCCTGCACATTTTAATGCTAAAGAGAAATCTGCAAAAGAAAATAAGGCAGAAAATTCCCTGTTAGACAAATTACATACCCCTAGTTAGGATTTAAGAGTGGGAATTTCATTGTCAGCCACAGACCTGTGTTTGGTGCCGTGGCTGCGCACGCTTGCTCCGACAATTTCCAGCACGTGTCAAGTGGGTGGTTGCACAGAGAAGCATCATCCCACAGCTCTGTACGGGTGCAGCCTGTACAGGGATGCACCTTCGTTGCTCCTGGCTGTTTGGCCATGAACGCAGTCATAAATGGGCCTTGAGCATCTCACTGAACCTCACTTGGTAAAAGCTTTGACCCAAAGGATTAAAAGTTAACCCAACCTTATCACACACTGAGCTCTGGAGTGAATAGGAACTGACAGCACGCGGCCACTTTGCAAGAGAACTCGGTCCCGCAGAGGATGCTGTATTTATGTCTATTTGTCTCATACTGGCAAGTGTTCTCAAGAGCAAAGTAATGCTTCTCTGAAACAGAAACGGTATTTGTGCTACATTTCCTTCTGCTCTATTAAATTATTCCCTGGATGATCTTCTTCCTTCGCCCACACCTCTCTTAGCCCCACCAACACTTTGTCTAACTCTTGGCAGGTTTTCAATGTAAATATTTCTGCTCCTTGAAGGAATTTATATAAAGCTCAACTGCTTTGCAGAGGAGAAGTGCCTGAAGCTGTCACAGCTCCTTGGTGACAGCTTAGGAGGACTCAACACTGCATTCACAGGACCAAGGAAGAGAAGGTTTGACCTCCCCTCTACACAAGCTCTGCTGTTCACCAAACAACTTCAGTTTAAGAATTACTTTTAAGCTTCAAAGCTTTCATGCGCCAGTCTGAAATAAAGGTCTGGAACAAATTTTCACTGGTAGCATTCCACAGGTGTGCAGTAGTCTCATATTTGCATATTTATCAGTTTTTGGAAGTACAGTGGCTGTACAATAACCCTCTGGAGGCCACTGTGGCTGAGTCTGAGAATGTCTTTCCTCGAGGAGATGCCCTCAGTCAGTACTGACTGGCATCATTTTATTAACCTCCTTGAACTCCCACTGATTGACTCCTTCTAAGAATCTGATCCCACTAAATGTTTAGCCACTCTCTGTAACCATGTTTTCTCCCCACTTTGAGCAAGAACAAACAAACCATTGGACTAGAAAATAGATCATCACAACAGTTTCATGAATTGAAATTAACAGAAATCAGGACTTTAACACTGCCATAAATCTAGGGGAAAAGTTTTCTATGAATCACGACACAACCATTACATAAAAAGTGAAACGGAGAAATCAGAAATTAGAACAAGAATTGAATACTGTGCTAGCTTTTTAGTTAGTTGGAAGGCACAACTAATGGCATTCAAATTGCGAGACTGACTTTCTTGACAAAGAAAGATCAATGCAGTTCCGAGGACCTTTAAGTAATACTCCTAAAAGGAAAACTATCATTTGGCTGCCATATGCAAAAATTTTTAGGTTGAGTGAAGAAAAAAATCCACAAAAACAACTTTCTCAAATCTGAAATTCCACAACTTGTTGAGGGTAGAATTGTCATCGTTAATAATAAATGGCAACCAGTAAGATTTCATCAGGGTAGCTGAATAATTACAAACATCACTCAGTAAAACCAAATTCCCTGGTGTGTCTGGTGTTTTCCCCAAATTTATTCTTTTTGCTGCTATTCAAGCTGTATTTGATATCAATTACCACAGCAGACAGAAACAAGGAATGAAAAATACAGACAGCAGTGCTCCCAAAATTATTATTGAAATTATTTAAAACATCTTTAGGCTAATAAAAGATCTATTGTAAAAATTGTTGCCAAAGAGCAGCATAACTCACACACAGTCTAACATGGATCAATCTGTTTCTTAAGCGTCACAGGATGTTTTTTCCCCTTGTAACTTTATCAAGTAG